TTTTTTTTTTTTGGTGGAACCAGGGATTGAACTCAGGCCCTTGCGCTTGCTGGGGAAGCGCTTATTCCACTGAGCCATCTCCCCGGCCCCCAGAGTTGGTTCTTAAGACCAATTCATTACTTCTTAATTAGAGAACAGAAGTTACTACCTGAAGATCTAAAGATTAGGCATATTTTTATTTCTACTAATGGTTAATAAAAATATTGAAAACATACTGTTTTGAGATTTTTTTTTTTTGAGACACAAGATCTCTCTGTGTAGTCCATACTGGCCTTGAACTCACTATATATTCCGGGCTGGTCTCAAACTCATAACAATCCCCTGCCTCAGCCTCCTGAGCGCTGGGATTATAGGGATGTGCTACCATACCCAACTAAGATGTTATTCTTTTATTTCCCTTCCCCTCAGATATTCTTCTTTTTTTTTTTTTTTGCGGAACTGCGGATTGAACTCAGGCCTTTGCGCTTGCCAGGCAAGTGCTTATTCTACTGAACTATCTCCTCAGCCCTCAGACATTATTCCTGATAGGCTCTTTACTCTGTGTAACTTTAGCATGTAGGCATTCAGCTTGTATTTTCATATGCACTGCATTGCTTTGCCTGGTGTTCTTATTTTACCTTATTTTTGCTACAGAGTCTTACTGTGTAATCAAGCTGGCCTTGAACTCACGTACATAGGTTGGGCTGGATTGGACCTCACAATGATCTTCCTACTTCCATCTCCCTATTGCTGGGATTACAGGTGTGCACCACCACACCCAGCTTTTATTTCATTGTTCTGTGGTTTATCTGTCAGCTGTATTGTAACCTTGCCCCCCAGGCCAGGAATGTTTCTTTCTTTTTTTTTTTCTGACAGTTTCAGTAGGTAGTGCACATAACATGAAGGGAATGGGTCTGGCTTTGGTGTGCAGGACTGAGAAAGGCACATTTGATTAGATGTGCTAGAGGGACATACCCTTCTTGGGCAGGACCACAGCCTCCCTTCCCATCAGGGTTAAGATTACTGTGTTGGTCAGATGTCACTATGTCATCTCTGAAATAACTCTAGAGGGAGTGACCTTGAGGTTTCCTCAGGACTGTAGGACTACACTGGTTGAACAATTTATTTGAAGGTAAGAGAAAGCACAACCAATTTCAAAAGTTGAGTTTAATTGTAATCACATTTAAACCTAATTTTTATGTCTTCATGAAAGTTTTGTGTTGGGATTTAAAAACATGCTACAATTGTTTAATATACATTAATACTTGCTTTTCATTTTATCCATCTAAGGAATACATCGCCTTAAACAGAGTTTGCCAAAAAGGAAACCAGGATTCATGACCAAATCCTATGACCCAATAGCACCCATAGCTGAAGAAATCAGCCAAGAAGCATGTCTCCTCTGCTTCGATGAATTTCAGGTACAGTACAGACTTTTCACAGGTATAGAATGATATACTGAGTTAGATGTGAAGCTCCGTCATCAATTTATAAATTGATTCTTACTACTTCAATTTTACTGTCTTGTTTGATGATCAGCAAATCATGACCTGCATATCTGACCTACCTGGTTCTGTAGGGCCCATCAAAAAAGAAGGATTTTTATATTCTTTAAAGTACTTAGAAGACAGAAAACAAAAAATCCATCAGAAAACCTATGTAACTCAAAAAGCCTAAAATATTTTTTTTTTTCATATCTCTGGTAATTTATTGCATTGATTAAGGTGACGTTTTTGGAAGTAAAGAGGACATAAGTAATACTTTAATTGGAAGAGTAAATAG